CATTGGCAGGGACACCTCCCACCAGACCAGGTTGCTCCAAGCCCCATCCAACCTGTCCTGCAACACTTGCATGGATGGAGCAGCCACAGCTGCTCTGGGAAACCTGGGCCAGTGTCTCACCGCCCTCACAGCAAAGAATTTCTTCTTAATGTCTCACCTAAATCTCCCTCTTTCAGCTTAAAACTAGACTCCCTGGGGAAGTGGTCTGTGCCCCACCAGCTCCAGGGACAGGTGGAACAAGAAACCTACATTTGGGATCCTAGGGGATGGAGGGAGATCAGGATGGGTGGCTACACACAGCGAGAAGGTCTGGAAGTACAGAGCAAGGAGGGGGAGAAGAAGATAAAGCAAAGAAGGGAGGAAGAAAAAGTGAAAGCAAAGTTGGTAAAGCTGGTTCTCATCCCTATTTCCAGAACCAGCCTGGCCTCCTACAAGACTGTCACTCCAGCCCTCATCTTTCCCATCACACGTATCGGACAGACCCCCAGCAGACAATTCCTCATCACCTTTACATTCACATCCCACCATCAGCAAGTCTTTCACCTTCCCTAACAACCTCTTCCTGGGGAGTCAGTGCCAGGGACAACCTTAGTTACAAACCCTGAAGACCAGGAGGTCTTGAAGGCATGTTTGCATTCCTTCCCACAGCAGTATCTGCAAGGAAGGACATGCCACACGACCCCTGAGAGAGAGACATGGACCAGGGTGGACAGGCACAGACACTGAAAGGTGTGATCCTCAGCCTGGAACCCTGGCACTCTGTAATGGAGAAGGAACTGGGAAGTACTGGCAGTCAGGCTAAGCTCTTCACTCATGGCTTTCATGCCAGGCTTCCCAGGTAGTTCTTTTTCAGAACACACACCAGTGGCTGGAGTTTAAAGACCTCCACTCGCTCCAGTAGCTGGCACTGGCACCCCACTGACTCCAGTAGCAGACACTATGGGCTAGAGGCACCTACACTCCCAGTCTGACTCCAGCAGCTGGCCACAACTCCACTCAGACACAGGTCTCACCAGTAACCAGAACTTTGTCCTTGCAGGACACACACTGCCAGGGTTTATTTCTTGTCATTGGCTCCATGTCTGTTTTGTCAAGCTTGTGTCTTGGTATGTTTTGGGTTTGGTTCCCCTTTTTTCCCATAGTTTCCCAGTTGACCAGCTGCCTGATCAGATAACCTCACTGGAATAAACCTTCTCACACTCTTGCTTCATGTGACTGACCAGGCTTGGTTCCCACCACTGCTTCCCTTATCATTTGCTGATCAGATTTGTTTAACTGGATGTTCTTGTTTATGGCTTCCTTATTACTATCCCTCGAGATACTGAAGAAGGCCCTGGAGCAGACTCCCTGACAGGAGCACTTCCCTTCCACACACAGACCATCTCCCAGTTGCCACCTGCCTGTCTTCACAGCACAACCACTGAAGTCACACACAACTGGGGCTCACCTGAAAATAAAGGATACAGAGACCAGTCAAGTCCAACTAGATTAATTTATTAGCAAAGACTACAAGGAATTATTCTGAATCACCACTTTGTTCAACTCCTTGGCTTTCCAGCAGCATTGCAAAAACTGTGCAGGAACCACCAACCACCTCACTGATGCGATCCCAGCTGGTTACATGTTCTCCATTGTCACCAGCCTGTCTTGATGGCACAGATGCTAACGTCACATGCTGCTGAGGGCAGCTGAGGAAGGTGAAAAGATACATCATTCTCCATGTTGGCCATACAAGGGCTTTTGCTCAACAATGAAGCAAGAGAAGAACCGAAGCTCTAAGACAAATCAGCTGAAAATGTTTGTGGCAAGAATGGAAGAAGATTCTGACTTTATCATGAAGCAAGGAGATTTCTGAGCAATGGTAGGAGCAGCACACCTTATTTCACACAACTCTGTGAGCAGTTGGATATTGTTTTCTTCATGTGGCTTCAGGTCATTGTCACTACCACAATAATATTCCTGTGTGATCTACTGTAGGTGATCCTGCTCTAGCATGGGGGTTGGACTAGATGATCTTCAGAGGTCTCTTCCAGCCCAAATTGTTCTGATTCCATGATTCTCTGATTTTGTGGATAGACTTGTACTACGTTCTTCTAAAATGCAAAGCAGGTGTGGTTCTTCATTCATCTCAACTTGGCCTAAAGCTTCTCCAGTTCATTAAGTGCTTCCTGCTTTGTAATCTTCTGCCACGAAGCAGGGATTTCTCCTTTGCCATGAAATTTTCCATTGTACTGTTTTTCTAGCTCTGTCCTGAAATGAGAGACAAACCATTTCCAGTATGCTTGCATGGATGGATCAGAAGAAATGTTCCAAGTAGAATAAGGAGGCCCTGCATCCCGGTATCTCTTGTAGGGGATCCATGTGTTTTCACCAATCAGGAATAAACAATCACTTGCAACACTACTAGAACAAATATCAATGACCAGATTATCTGTTTTATACCACCTGTATCCCGTCAAAACTTGCGGGCGATGGAAGATGAGCTGATGGTCTCCATCGTGATTCCTCATGGTGTTCGTGCAAACAGCCCCACAGAAGGGACACTGCTCCCAGCACCCTGAAAACTGTTCAGCCAGGATGGTGTGAGGCTGCCTTTCAAATGAGCTCATATCAGCACTCGCAAACTCTGCCTGTAGCTGTTCCCTCAGGGGAGCCAGTGCTTCTGCCATGGCATTGTTCAGAAACTCTATGTCCGTTATCTCCTGATGCTCAATGCCCTTCAGCTCACTTCTGGGCAAGCTCAGCACCTCCCCCAGTGCACTGCAGAATTCATCCAGCCAAAGAGAGATTTTGTCATTTCTGTCTTTTCTGTCTTTGACGATGTTGGTTGATGTAAAAACAGCCGACTGGATGCATTCATAGTAGATAGTAAGGGAGTTCTCTAGAAACTTCTCCAGCCTCCGGTTCCTATCTAAACAATATGTCTTAACACGTGACTCAATGTAATTCTTTAAAAAGTATTCTGGGCAACTAAGGTAGTCCTTGAAATGCTGAAAATTTTCTTCTTGTGCCAGGTATCTCAGAATGCAAACTTCCAGAGAGGATCTATTGCCATTGAAATCTGAGATTTTCCCCTGCATGTCTTGAGCTATGGTAAGAGCTGTCTTGTTATAGACAGCCTGGTGAAGAGCTGGGGCAATCTTCTCGCACAGGAAAACAGCAAATGTTGTGATAGAAGTGGCTCCTTGGCAGGAAATCTGGAAACATTTAAAGAAATCTTCTCTCTTGCTCTCCAGGTAGATGGATGGATCATTGGCTTTTTTGAATGCTGCATGCATGGCTTTAAACCTTTCTGCTGCCATTCTGCACAGATACAGTGATAAATCGATCCTGTAATCTTTATTAAAACTGTATTTTGCAGTGCTAGGGACAGAGTTCATACCTTTCTGTATTTCATTTAGTATTTCATGAATAAAACTTCGACTGTAATCCCTTTTCTCCTTTTCCTTCCTATCAATGTTTGCCTTCACACACTCTATGATGTTATCTGTAATGTGCTGTATGGTGTTCACCTCAGCATCATCAAGATTCCTAGGAAAAAAGTGCCAACGTTTTTTCGTAGCAATATGTTTTTCAAAGTCAACAGAAAATACTCTGTGTCTGGGAAATGTCCAGATCCGTGCATGTAAGTTAGGCTCCTTAAAGTGATCTAGAAGGACATCTTCTATTTCCACATCAATATCGACCTGTTCTGGCGGGGGAGCAGCAGAGGAGACTTCAGCCATCCAGATTGCCCAAAGAGAAATAAAGTTGTCTCTCAGTTGTCTGTCACTTAGTTTCTGGCCTTTTAGAGACAGAGCCAACTGCCTGCTCTTTTTCAGGAGCTCATTTTCATATTCTGACTTCCTTTCATCCAGTTTACACTGGTTCTTCCTTAGTTCAATAAGATTCTCACACTTCTTTCTAGTTTCAAGAAGAAGAGACTCTTTTAGTTCTTTCAGCTTCAGTTCCGTGCTGACTTTCCACTGGATCAGTATCTCACAGTCTCTGTCTTCACTGAAATACTTTTCCATGTCTTTCGTGATAGCATCACTTGTCTCTTGCACTAGTGTTTCAAGGTAATCTGTGGTGACCTTCTGCAGCTCCCCATTCCGAACTTTATTCTCCAGTTTTATTTGCACATCTAAGATGTGACTCCTCAGCTTCCAGGTCCACTGACTAAATGCAGTTTCTAGATTCTTGTACGCAGCAATCTCCACTGAATTCTTGAAGCTGAAAACGAAGTTTTCATTCAGCAAAGCATTCCAGAGGTCACTAATACGAACTTTCAAGCTGGAGAGCCTCAACACGCTGCCCGGTGACTCATTCTTGGCAGCCTGAAGAATTTTGCTCTTTAATTCCTGGACATTCTGGCTGTAGGTGGGATTGGGTGGTGCCATTGGGGGGTTTCCTTCCCACAGGTGAGCAAAGTAATGAATGTGGGTGTTCACATCAAAGCGGATGACGTCACTGAAGCAGGAGATGTCACAGAATTCCTGCT